TTCCAAACTCTACAAATAATAATCAAGTCTGCTTGCACCCTGATTAAATACATGTTAGTTAATTAATTATGTTTTTTTTATTTCATCATGCAATTAAACTATCAGTTACATTTACAGATATTTACAGATAGATAAAATTATTTCTGAAACAAAAAATGTCAATGTTCTCTAACAGGTGTTGTTTTAGAAGAAGCATCCCTTTCCTGTGAGGGATAAAAGACTATTCCTCCTGTAACATGGCATTTTGCAATATCTCACCTATCATTCAAATTGTTACATTAGGGTTTCCAGTGTAAGAAGATCCCATTCAACATCAGGATCTCTAGTTTGTTGTTGTTGTCGGTTTTGTTGCTGTCTGCTTTCAAGTCATTTCTGACATATGGGCACCCTAAAGCAACCCTATCACAGGGTTTTTCATTCCCATCCTCTAGGCTGAGATAATGTGACTTGCCCAAGTTTGAACAGAGATTATTTTGAGACAGGAGACGCATTTAAAACTACTCAACTGCTGTAGGCCAAAGTAAGGAATCCTGGGGAATAGGCATAATAAAACCATTCTAGTTCCATTACAGGATGTTGTTAGACAGTCAAAAGGGCTAAAATTGAAGGAAGCATGACTGAAAAACAGTGATGGCAGACCCAAAAGACCTACTGCTGAAATTAATTGCTGGAATTAATTGAGTAGCTCACTCAAACACATTTGTCTACCTCCCCAGCCATGGGCAGAAGTTTAATCTCACAATTTAGCAAGACCTTTCATGAGAAACAATGTCTGCCTTTCCCATCAGTATTTCATGAGTGCAACCTGTCTCATGTAGTATTTCAGGGCATGGCTAGTATTACTGATTTCTGCTTACCAAATAGATTGGAGCTTTACATATTGACTCATGGAATATTAGACTTCTGCTCTCCTCAAAACATACACAAGCTATCCATTTGTTGGTATAGAATACATAACAATTGAGAAATGGTTAATTGAATGAGGGCTATTGCACTGGTGCAATGTGGTTTAATAAAGAAAGTGCTACTACTGCTCCAATTTGACATTGAAGTCCCATTCACATGGATATACTTCTTGAACAGTATGAATGCTGAATGTTTTCCAGAGAGCTTCCAAGGCTCAAATGCCCCATTCTGAGGTGGTCCTTCCTCAGACTGCAGCATTATGGGCACAGTGAGAACCTTAAGAAGTTTCTCCAGTTTCTTCTCCAGTTGGGTTTGTAGCTACTTGCATAAAATGAGATCATATCTGCTTTCTGGCCAATATTATTCTGACTCCATTCATGAATCTTTTTCTGGAAATGACAAAGATATTCCATTGACTGTATTGGGAATATTTTCTAAAATCAGTCTTCTAAATTGAGTTGAAATCTGAAATTGTAGTTTGGTTTACAACCTTAGAAAAACCATGGCATCTATTCCATACATGCATGGCAACGAAATAGAAATGGAAGGACTTGGGATCCTTCAGGGACCCCTCTATAATCATATAAAGAGAACATGCTGTAGAGTATTTTGTTCATTTGTGGTTTGTTTCCTCTTTTGCTAGAAAGATTACATATTGGGCAAGAAGGTTTAGTGGTTAAGAGACCAAGGCTGACAATTGGAAGATCGGAAGGTTGGCATTCAAGACCCATGCTCCTTTTCAGCTTCTGCCAACCTAGCAGTTTGAAAGCATGCAAATACAAGTAAAGAAATAGGTATCGCTTTGATGGGAAAGTAACACATTTGATGCAGTCATGCTGGACACATGACCCACAGAGTAATCTCTGACAATACTGGCTCTTTGGCTTTGTAATGGAGATGAGCACCACCCCCTACAGTTGGTTACAACTAGACATTCATGTCAAGGGACTCCTTTACCTTTACCTTTTTAAGAAGGCAGCCATTACAAGAAACAACCACAGCACTACAAGTACATGCAGAACTGAAAAACACAGGTGTGTCAATTATTGCTGTCCTTTATTTCTTATTAACTATAAATGATTAAAGAGGGGACAATATCCAGGAAAAATGAGAGAAAAGAAATGAATATACATTTGCAAAATCTATTCATCTCTTCATGAATACAAATTTCTCAGAAAGGACTACAAATTCAAAGGATGTCCTTGAATGTCAAGATCTGTGTGCTCATTTTAAAGTTAAATAAAAGAACAGGAGCACATGTAATTAGTCCAGCTCTTCAGGCATTATTTATCTTTGATTCCAGATTCTTCACCTTATCTACATAGCAAGGTATAGTGGGCCAGAGGGGAAACCTAGAGTGGAACTGTTTGCTTTTCAAAAATGATATTTCTGATGGGAGCTTGAAGGGACTAGACCATGACAAGCAGATACCATTTAAAATAGAGTTATTCCAGCTCAGCATCACCTTGGGTTTTTGTTACACCTCTACATCAGAACTTGGAAAAGTTCCTTTATTAGATTACACCTCCCAGATTCAGCACTGAACATCTTGATTGAAAGATTTTAAGTTATACTCCAAATAAGTAACTTTTTAAGGTTGTACTACATGTCGGACACAGTTGCTGAAGTTGTTAAGATGCTGACTCTGTTGATTGCAAGATCAGCAGGTTGGCAGTTCAAGGCCTGGGTGCTGCGTGATGGAATGAGCTCCTGTCATTAGTCCCAGCTTCTGCCAACAGCCTAGCAGTTTGAAAGCATGCAAATGCAAGTAGATAAATGGGTACCACTTCAGCGGGAAGGTAACAGCATTCCATGCAGTCATGCTGGCCACATGATCTCTGGCTGTTTGGCTTAGTAACAGAGATGAGCACTGCCCTCTACAGTTGGACACGACTTGACAACGTTGTCAATGGACGTTATCACACGTGGGCCAGTTTCATTGTTAAAGAGATAATAAAGTGGAAATGAAGCATCCCGAAAAGAAATCGAAAATAGAGCTTAATTGCGCAAAAGCTTTTCACACATAATTACAGTAATAACGGAATTAAGTTAAATGCAAAAAAAGACGTTTTTAACTTTCATACAAGAGTGAAAAGAACCCGTACATGTACTGGAAATGGGTGTGTTTCGTGACCAGACTCCTCCTTTTCCAGGGTGGGTCCTGCATTTCCCAGGAGGAAATGTCAGACTGTCCTCCATTTGGGGTCATGTCCTCCTGCACAGGTCCTAACCCCCTTCCGTTGGGGTTAGGTCCTCTCAAGAGAGCAGAGGAGGAGGAGGAGGAGGCTGGAAAGACAAGGCAAAGCAAGCCGAGGCAAGGGAGGGATTGGGATGGCTCACCCTCCCTTTTCTCTCTCTCCTTTCCTGGCATTGGAGGTTGTCAGCTGCAGGGAGATGGGCAAGGAGGGCAGGATCACAGGCAGAGCTGGCAGGGAAGGAGGAGGAGGAGGAAAGGGAAGGAAGGAAGGAAGGAAGGGCTGGGTGTTCCCTGGGGAGAGCCAGAGCCTTGGATGAAGCCCAGGAGAGGGGGAAACTGGAGGTAGCTCTCATGCCTCCCCCCATAAGCCTTTCCCCTTTGTAGGACCTGCAGGGCAG